TTTCTCATCCAAATGTCAATCATCGGAGTCATTTCTTGGCAATCAATGTTTCCAAGTCATGCCGGTGGATACCTGACTTTAGGAGAGGCGCCTCTTACGTCACTTTTTTTTTAATACCATTGTATTGCAATATGAAATGTAATAATATATATAAATTGAAAAAAAACATGGTGGCACAAAGTTTACGACGTTCGCTTTTCATTTATCTGAGAAGGAAAGAATTTGTACGAAGTTTACGTAGAACAAAAATATTAAAAAATAAATAATTTCCATAATTTTGTAGATTATACGCGAAATGAGCCGCACTTGAGTGATTTAATTACTTATTAAAATACCGGTGTATTTTAATTATTTTGTTTGATGTACTGGATTGAAAATAATTCTAATTATATTATAAACGCTGCAGTTTATAAGTACAAATATGGATGGATGTTTTAACTTTTGTTTATTTTTCACGTAAAAACTACGGAACAGATTTGAATGAAATTTGGCATGGAGATAGATTATAGTCTGGAATAGCATATTTTGCCTTGGCCTCCAGCAACCTCACTCACACGGCGAAACACAACGCTGTGGTTGTTTCACGCCGGTTTTCTGTAAGGCCGTGGTATCAATCCGGTCGAACCAACCCATTCGTGCCGAAGCTTGGCTCTCTCACACTTTAAAAACAGGTGATGATAAAAGTCCGTGCTATTTCATTAGTATCACGGACTTTTTATGATAATACAACTGATCTGAAACCTGAACCCGGCTCAGCAGTTTCACAGCAAACAATGAGACAATCTGATTCACATCCTGACAAATAAAATGTTGGAATCACATGTTATAAACACAACATCACGTGTTATAAAATTATTTTATATATAAGTATATAAAAAATAGTTTTTATGAATTGCCGTCACATTAAAACATTATATTTTTTGTCAAACATTTTACCTTCATTAATGTAAATTATGATTGAATTGTCGGTCGGAAATTGTAAGTACGAGTAGGTAAAAAAATGGCGTTCGCTCGTAAGTGTATATTTTGTGAGTAATTTTTTTTTTTTGCATAATATAATTTTGGGTACACATTGTTTGGAATGATTTATATTATTCATTTAAGTACTTACTGATAAAAACTTTTGGAAATTTTAATTTAGACTTTTAATGGAGCCTTATTGGAAGGACTGATGATGTTTATATTATACCCAATTTTTTCATTTAGACTAAACACTTAATGTTTTTTTGTGAGGGGAAAATCGTCAAATGACTTCTCCCGCCCAGGGTCAGACTGAGTGTCAGACTCTTACTGACTAAAACCCCCCGTTCCTTCTCCTGGTCTGGTTCGAGGTCGTGGTGCCTCATTGCGCTCATACCGCAAGCCCAGCAAACACTTTTAATGTACCGTCACATTTTGAGTACTACAGCCCTTTTTCACTTTCGCTATAAAAATACCAGATACACATATTTACTTATCTTTCATGTTTATAAACGCAACCACCTTTTTTTGAATGGCGAAGTCAATTTTGGTATGGTATGACCCGAGAGTGTGCAGAGAGGAATTCGTACTGACTAGAAACCATCTGGTTCCTTCAGCTCTGAGAGGAGCCGCGGTAGGCGGTACATCAGTATCCTTGTACACGCAACTTATAAGAAAAAAATTTTAGTAGGACTGCTCTGTATTGGTTTAAGAAATGAAGTGAACACTTAAGTATGCTTTTGCGCGTGTCTCCTAATGACATTGGAATATATCTGTCACATTCACATACATACAACATGGCGTCTGTTTGTCTTCCAAGAATCAAACAAAAAGACATCGACAAAACCACAAATATACAACAAAAATATATTTTTGTTGTGATTCTTTAGCCTTTGACATTAACATTACCTATATAAGGAAGTATGCAGTTATATTTATTATTTCGAAATACCGCAACTGGATTTTCATTTGTTAACTATCTTAAATGTCGAATTCCTTCCAGCCTCAAAAAGTTTAATAATGTCAGTATTGTTCCTTTTTAACTATGAAATCCCACTTACGTAGTAGTCTCTATGGGAAGTTTGTTTTTCTTTATCTTTAGCATGTTACACTCATTTTTCCCTACCGTTCAAGCCTTTCCTGGACTTCTACAAATACATATATCAAGATCAAAATTAACTAAAGAAATTTTCGTTGTTTTTGTGCTTACAAAAAAAAACACATAAATTTTATACAAAAGCAAGTACTTAACTGTTTCAAACTAGCTAAACTAAAGAACAGAAATTTATTTTTTATACATTTTATACAATAAAAATATATATAATAAAACGTCTTCACGTCTCAACATGAACAGCTGACGATCGTCAACCGTCAGAGACCTTGTTTTCATAATAATATTAATATAGTTTGTCCTAACCTACATCTTTTTACTGCCTTCTTCAATACAGTATAAAATAATGAGATCTTATCAGAGATCACCGTATCGGTTCTGTTAAATATGTAGTTGAAACAGACATTTCTAATTTTTGTGATAGCAGTTCCATTTTTTTATGTAATAGATCGGCAAACGAGCAGACGTATTACCTGATGGTTAGTAATCAGCGCGGCTCATGTACACGGAGAAGTTACGAGTGCGTTGCCGACCTTTTAGGGATTGAGGAGGAATTGGGGGTGGGGAAGGATTGGGCCTCCAGTAACCTCACTCACACGGCGAAACACAACGCTGTGGCTGTTTCACGCCGGTTTTCTGTGAGGCTGTGATACGCCATTTGTCGAATTCTGATAAGTGGTTTAGAAGTTACGAGGGAACAGATGAACATACATACATACATAGCCTGTCAAAATCATAACCCTTCTTTTGCTTTGCCGTGGTCGGGTAATAATAGCTATACCTACACTACGTAAACTATGTTGTACGTGCTGACATATTTTTATCAAATCACGGCTCTCCCACACTTAAATTGATTCACAGATTATTCTATAAAATTGGTTTAGATTATTATTTAGAACCGAAATAATTTAGATACGTTTTAATATCTATTCAGCGGAACGCAACGTTTATTTTGTTTGCTTTTTTTGTACAAATATGTATATACCAACCTACATACATAATTTATATAACTTTGTTATATGTTTCACACTTCAGCGTCCCATGTAATCGGCAATGGCACATACATATGTGCTTTTATTACAACGACATTATTATAATCGTAATAATAATAATAGACACTATTATTGTGTTTGTCCATTTGTTTATTTCTTGCTAGCAATCTTTTGCCGTCCAGCGTTTAAGATTTAATGTCTTCATTTAAATATAAGAACATTGTGTAGGTACCTAAATGTAATTCCTTTCGTTGACAATTTAATATTTTAGGTACCTAAGATTGTTTTATTTCTGCAATGCACTGGTCAACTTTTTTTATTAGCTGTTTTTGCTGATGGAAAGACTAATTTTCAAATTAAATTATTTTCAATATAGTCTTGTAGTACGTGCGATGTAGGTATGTATGTAAATGAAGTAAAGACGGGCGCACACTTTCATGACGTGGCGTGTAGGTAGCGACGTGTGAAAAAGCGAAAAAAGGGTCTATTGTATTAATCATCGAAATAATGTGTTGCAAATTGCACACTCGTAAAAATTTGAACCATTTTGTTTTTTTTAGAATATTTCTCTAGACAGGAAAACGGTTATTATAGGGAAGGTACAACGGTAGATGCATGAAGGAAGTTGCGTCGGCAAAATAGTCTTCATAATCTAGACTTACTAATAAATCTATAAAAAATAATAAGTATTATTTAGACTCGCTAAAACTTTACAATGGCTGAGTCAACATAGTTGATATTAAAACATTCGTCGCAGTCTAAGGAAAGTTTTATCAATGAAAAAATAACTAAACATGTTGAATAGAACTACTAAAACTACATTTTTCTTTCCCATACAAACTGTACTGGAAGCCTTGTTAAACATTTGACAAAGAAAAGAACAGTCTATTTATTTAGTTTCGAAGTGGTCTCGAGTTCGTCAGGAGAGCTATTTTGTTGTAAGAATAATATTAACTGTCCACACAAAAATAAAGTCACTATAACAGTACCAACCCTTCTCCTTCTTAATCCCTAAAAAGAGACCCCCAAAAAAGGCCGGCAAAGCACATGCAAGTCCATGGACGGCGCTGATTGCTTACCATCAGGTAATCAGTCTGTTCGTTTGTCACCGCATATCATAAAAAACCTAACGAAATAATCCATTGTCTTTGTGGCATAGTTCCCAAACATTATATTGGTAATAATTAATAGTCCCATTAACAATGTTTTATTTATTATACATTGCGTGGTTTTCCCTAATGAGAAGTTGTTATCGTGGATTTTAAACTCATTTATTTAGCCTACAAATGATCGCGTATTTTGGGGTTTTTGTGGCTTTTATTGTTAGACAATTAATATGCTGATAATAATTGGCGTATTTTGCTGCCTGACTATTTTCGAACTAGCTACTCTCGCGCGGTTTCGCCCGCTGCTCAACTCTATTTGATCGTAGCGTGATGTTTTATAGCTTATAGCACTCAGGAACATTGTAGCTGTCTATCAGTGAATGAATTTTGGCAATCCGACCAGCAGTGCCTTTTATGACTATACATTCTAAGCTGTATATATGTATTTACTCCACATCAATATTCTCTAAAGTTTAGTTCGGAGATTTGCAAACCTTACAGTTGGATTTTTTATTTTATTTTTTTCGAATTGATTCATATTTATTTTAAGACAAAAGATGCGATTTTGATTTACAAAAAAATAACTTATTAATTCAATAATATGACCTAAAATAGTTTAATTATAAAAACGAGGTCTATATACACAGATATATTTGATGGCAAACCAAAAAGTTGAAGCTCAATTTCAGATTAAATTTTGAAAGAAAAAGAAGGCCACTCTAAGCTTGTGTAGTCTTAGAAGACTGAGAGTCGAACACGGAAAAATCCTTACATCGTTATATTTAAAGCAAATGTAAAAAAAAAAACATTTTCAATCAAAGAAAAACTTACCTAAAAACGATCTCACGCCCAGCGTCCCTCTAGCTACAGATAAAATCATGGCCAGAGTAGAGACACCGCCTCCAGCGAAGATATACGCTTGCTTGGCACTGCCACCAGCGGCTGCATCCTTTCTCCTCCTCCATAATGGAGCACACGATGATGCACACACGAATATACCAAACACTATACACTCCCAAGCCAGCCACCCGGAATTCATCGTGTCTGAAAAGAAGATATAGGAGATTGTTCATCATCAAAAGTAGCCTTTTTTTTGTCAGCGGAAAATTATTAAATAACTTCTCCCGCCCAGGGTAAGGCGAGAGACAGTGTCAGACTCTTACTGATTAAAACCCCAGTTCCTTCTCCTGCTCTGGGCCGAGGCCGCGGTGACTCATTGCGCTTAGCCCGTAACCCTCTTTGAGGCGCGCGCAGCCTATGTATATGTCAAAAACTCAAAGTAATTTATTTTTTTTGATCTAGGAAACTACCAATTGGTTATTCGCTATTTTATTAATAACTTAACTTGTGCCGTTGAAGGTGAAAATAGTCGATAATCATAAATTTATTTTAAAATAAAATTTAATCGTATTCGAGATTCTATTTCTTATAAATGGCACTGCCACGGTGTCATGATCGTCAGAGTAATATTTTTTTTAAATCTATTAACTAGTCAGATGATGTGGATATCTTTTTTTATTATTCATATGACATTATATAACAATTTTAAATGTCTTAAAAATAAAAGTTAATCATCTACAATTATAAAAAATCGTGTCCCACCCGTATTGGGAACAGGGTCCAAGCTACCGGCGGTCAGGGGTCCAGAGAAAGAAACCTCCTGACAATACGAGCCGTGTCCAGGAGTACCACTTTATGGATCAAGCACTTGATCCAGCCACCTAACGAGAGCCTCTTAAGGTGTTGGATGAGGCTCTTTCTTATTATTATAATTATTTTTTCTCTAAATGTATAATGTGCCATGGACAAGAACAGAGACTTCTCCTTCGTCGTAACGTTTGGCAATTATAAATAATATTATAATCTGTGCATGTGACAGATCAAATATCAAAGATGGTGACTTTTCCAAGTGTCACAACTATAGTAATTAACAGCGCAGTAATGAGTACGTACGGTGCATTATTTTCATAATCATATGTTAGAAATAAAGATGTCTGAATAATAAAAATGTATATAAATGTTGTATTTTTTGTGACTGTGCATTTATATACCTGTATAGTATCTAATACCTATATAGTTTCGCACATATATGTATGTACATAAATTCCATTCAATGTTGTTTATAGATTTATTTAACTACATTCACGATAGGCATGCTATAAAAATCGAAACTCCTTCTCGCCATGCCCTAGGCGAGAGAAGAAAAGTTACAATATGAACTCCTAAAAAAAAATTATTTTAAGTGTAACTCTTTTCATATTATACATCTTTTGCATATTCCTACTAGTTAATAACGTAGTCAAGTAAAAATGTTATTATTATATAATAATTACCTAAATTTTATTGGTTGGTAATTGTAAAAACTGCTATTACTAACCTCTTTGGTTGGAATTACACTGTAACAAAAACAAAATACAGGGTGATGATATGGTCCGACTAGTTTATAATCTGTGATCTTGGTGTCCAATGACTTATTATTAAATTAAAGATAATGTTTTTTTCTATTACACTAACTTTTGTATTAGGTATAATATAGTAGAAAAAACATGTAATAGGTTCGAACAATGTCAGTTTAACGATGTGATGTTTAACAAACTTTCTAACGAGACGGCGTCGAGTGAATAAGTTACAATTGTAACACGTTGTATAAAACGTAAAGTTTTATTCTATATACAATAATATTTTGAGAAGTATTAGTTACAATATTTTTAACTTAACAAAGGGCTATTTGCGCGGGTGACCAGAATTATCTTGAGCGTACGATGCGTAGCGTTCCGCGCGCGCCTCGAAGAGCCAATAGACGACCACAGACGGTATTTATAAGTAAAACTGACCACAATACTCGACATACAGTAGTTTTCTTTTTTACGGGCAGATTTTCAGTCGGGATTTTTGGAAGCGCAATTAAGAGAGAGAGAGAGAGCAGGAGAAGGAACGGGATGGTTATTAGTCAGTAAAGGCTTAACTGATTTGGCTGAAAACTAGTGGCGAGGTAGCATAGGACCAAGAGACGGTCTTAGGATTCTTTGTCTCTTTCCTACCCCCCACTTCCCTGAAATGTGGCGTGGAAGACTAAACAAACGTTTCGTTTTTCTACGACTTTCTCACTAGTCACACGTTTATTTTGTTTTCCAAATGAAAAGCTAAGGATAGATAATGCCATTTAAGGGCTGATTTTACAACGGTTAGATAAAAGTTACCTGGGGAATACTCAATACTCAATACTTTATTGCTTTCCACATGTATTCTTAGGTGGTAGTAGTTATAAATAGTTCATATGGACCCTGTCGGGCACAGCAAAGTAAGTGGGATAGGAGAGAGGAAGCTCTTATCGGCTATGTTACTTATTTTTGATGACTATGACTAAGGTTATATAGGCAAATAAGTTATATATATTTATATTTATTTATTGAAACACTTAATCTGCACTGTAAACTTGGAAACTGTGTGAATAATTATAATGCTGTCGCGTCAATATGTTTGTATAAGAAAGTGACAACAACAATTTTATTCCTCAGATAACATTTATCTGACTATTGAAAAATCAGCACTAAATATTATAAAGAAGAATTATTTTTTAAAGATTTCCTAGTTCAACGTTGCACAAATATATACCTACACAGATAGAATTTATTTGTATTATAAAAAAAACTGCATTTTTTCTTCTCAATATCATTCCTTTCACATGGCACGTTTTATCAATACAATTATTGAACTTAATAAACAATACACCATAGTACTATTTATAATCTAGCATTCTTTCCTTATTTCCGTATTAAGTATTACATTTAACAATTAGATGCAGGAAAATACACTTTTTTTTTTTTTTTTTTTTTTTTTTTTATTTATTCGAAGGAAAGCTTACAGACTAATTATAATAATAATAACTTAATAAATTTCTAATTTGCTAACAACAAGCTTCCACCATTAAGTGACTACATAAAATAATATTATTATCGTAGACTGACCCAAGAACCTCACTGGAACATACAGAAAAGGTAAACACAGATAATATCTCAAATATTACACAAATTAAATCTATATTAAACTAGTAATTATATTATAAACACATGACACAAAAAAAAAAATATATATATATAAATAAAGGAACTACTTTTGAACAAAGACTGCCCATCCCTTCGGAGAGCTCCAATGAGACTATACACAAAAACACTATGTATAAATTAAAAGGATATGCAATCTTAAGCAAAGTATTATAATAAAGTTCGACATTTACATCCGGGAATCATCTTCAAAGAATTTATTTGCTAATAAGCGTTTCACTGTGATCGCTTTTGAACAAAAAAGATCTACATCTAAGTCTTCAGGAATATTATTGAATGCTCGTGCTGCACGTAAGAGAAAGGTATTTTTTCTATATTTGGTTGAACCAGAAGCAATCTGCATAAGTGGTCTATGCCTGAGCCCTAGAAGATTAGTACGTAAGTGTAACTTAGCCAATAGTTCTGGGCAATCGATCGACCCATTCGCAATATTCATGAAAAATGAAATGTCACTAATGTTACGTCTGTAGTGTAACGGTAGAAAGTGATATCTTTTACAACGGTGATTGTAATCATCTGAATACTGCCGTGCTTTGTAATCTAAGTATCTCAAGAATTTCTTTTGTACAGCTTCAATACGAGACTTATATATCTCGTACTGAGGATTCCAAATTTGTGACGCGTATTCCAAGTGACTACGTACGAAAGCACAATATAGAATTTTTATAGTTTTTAAGGAACGAAAATCAGCTGAAACTCTTATAATAAATCCTAACGCCCTTGATGCTCGATTTACAATGTAATCAATGTGTTGATCAAACAAAAGTTTATTGTCCATTTTTACTCCTAGATCTTTAATTGAAGTGACTTTATTGAGTATTTGATCGTTTAATTTATATTCAAAACTAACAATAGTTTTTTGTCGGGAGTATGTGATTTGGAAACATTTCGCAACATTTAACTGGAGTTTATTATACACACAATATTCTTCGAACCTATTCAGATCATTTTGAAGTTGCTCAGCATCTGATATGTTTTTAACAACTTTATGAATCTTCATATCATCTGCATAGAGTAGGATGTAGCTATGTCTGAAACACTTATGTATGTCAGAGATAAACAGTGTGAATAACAAAGGTCCTAAGATTGAGCCTTGAGGTACTCCAGAAGGAACGTAATTCCAGCCAGATACGTACCCTTTTAGTACTACTGCCTGTGTGCGATTCTCAATATATGATGAGAACCACCGGTAAAGGTCCCCATGAATACCTGTTAGTAGTAATTTATCCAGTAGCACTGTATGATTTATTCTGTCAAAACATTTGGAATAATCTGTATATATAACATCCACTTGCGCACGCTGGTCCATGCCTTCAGATACAAATTCATGGGAGAGTATGAGGTTTGAAGTTGTAGATCGGTTTCTAAGGAAGCCATGTTGTTCTCCACCAAAATTACTTCTCACTGCTCCATAAACTTGTTTATGTATTATTCTTTCCAGGAGTTTAGAAAAAAGACATGTTTTAGAAATAGGGCGGTAATCTTCTACATTTGACCGATCTCCCTTTTTAAATACAGGGGTGATATATGCAGATTTCCATACCCTCGGTACAATACCCTCTGAAACTGATCGCTTAAATAAGGTACACACTGGATCAACCAGGCTAACCGCACACTTAACTATAAAAATAGGTGGTATGGAATCAGGGCCGCCCGCCTTGGTCAAATCCAGGGATTTCATTAACTTTAATACCTCCTCATGACTAATTTCAATAGTGCTAATGTTAGTTACGGAATTATTATTTTCACTAGAAGGTATTACAGTAGAGTCTGGGTTTTGGAAAGTGGAATGAAAGTAATTTGAAAATAAATTACATATGTCTTCACCTGTTTCAGCGATCGTGTCACGGTAATGCATCACATTAGGGAATGCATTAATAGTTCTTTTGTTTTTTACGTATGACCAGAATGATCTTGGATTGTTAATTATAGCAGATTCAATTTTAGCCATATACGTATCAAAGCAACTTTTCTCCACTT